TATATATATATATATATTACAAAACTGCTGTGAAGGTATTTCAGATTTTTCGTGACCCAGCCCTTTTTGCAGTTCTGTCAAAGCCACAGAGAACTGCTTACACCACTCCATCTTGCTAATCATACCTAACAAAGGGATGAAACACATTGTGAATATTTAATCAAGAATTTACCAGCCTGTTCTGGCAGTAAACATAATTGAATGAATCATGCTTTCCTTTTTGTAGAGCAGCTTTTGTAGAGTAAGACTGCACTAAAACGATCAAAACAATCCAAACAAGCCTCTATATACATACATACTGGGTAGACCTTTCTTTAAAATGAGCAGAGAGGAGTTTGCATTTGATTTACTTTCACTTTGCACTGCAGTCTGTGTAGAAACAGCGGGTTTTGTTTGAAGAACGTAGGATGTTATAGCTTATATTTATTCAGGCGCGCTATCAATAGTTATGCAAATTTTCTGAATGTAATGGTGTTACGGTGCATTGTGTTTTCCAATGAAAGTATGCATAATGGACAGGCAGATTGATAGAAGATGTGAAACACTAAAACATTACCATAACATAGGGACTTTAAAGTATTTTTTTTTTTCTGTTTCTGGACAGATTTAATTGAATTTATTTTTTTACAATTAAATCTACCCATTTGCAGCACTTCAGTATAGACTGTAAAGTTGGCAAGACAAAAGGCTACTACGACTACTGAAATGCCCTGTGCTGTCATTTAATTTCACAATGGGAAGTTGTTTGTTATTTCCTCTGTTTCTGATGTCAGTAAGTTTTCCTTTGGGGATGTTTGGGACAATAGTGCTACGATTAAAGTTTGAGACTGGTAGACTCCAAATGCTCCCCTGGTCATTGCAATGGTGTGTACATTATTATTTGAATCTTGTCGTGCTTAGCATTCACTCTTTGTAGTCATTTTCATTCTCAAGGATGACACATAGCATTTCTACAGCGTAACATTTCATTTCCTTGTCACAGGTGAACTCAGAGTCCCTGGCAGATACGATTTTTTAAATTTATGCTAGGTTACTTTTTTTTCTTTCCAGTCAAAGAATTGGGACTAGTGTTTTAAGTATGGTTCTGACTAACTGGGAATATTCCTTTTAATAACAGAGGATTTTGTGTCTTGCAGTTCATAGGTTTTTATGATCATGCTGATATCTTTATAGATTGTCTTATTATTTCTGTTTAAAATGCACTTGATATTTTGTTTTAGTTAGAGTCGTGCTTTAATACATGGCCATAATATTTGCAATTCTCTCAGTTTTCTTTTGAAATGTCAATGTAATGCTTGATCACAGAAAGCAACAGGACCCAAAATATCTTACCTGTATGCTTATTTGGTGATTGGATGGAGTATTGTTGCATGTCTTTTTATAATTCAGACTTCGATTGCTTCTTGTCTAACTCAGGTCTGTCCAATTGATTCAAAATGCTTTCACTCAGACCAAAAAGCACTTGTACCACCGCCATACCACCATTCATTTAGCAGCTATTTTAGCTTAAAGCTACCTTTATTTTGGTGTGTGTGTACTCTTACATCAGGACCAATTTGCAGGAGCAGTTTGGGTTCAGTTTCTTGCTCGAGGACACAGCAACGTGTGGACAGGGTGAGCCAGGGATCAATCCAGCAAACCTATGACTAATGGATGATTGATGAAGCAGAAGCCGAGACGTCCTGACTTTTATTCCCTTAAGGTCAAGCTCCAAAAACACTGGATCCTACAGTTCCTATAATGAAACTCAATAGTGACTTTTCGTTTTAAATGCCCACTTCTTTAAACTTAACCCTTGAGCTTGTAACACTGGCTTTCTGTTGAGAAGTCTGTAGCCCAGTCTGAGATTTTCTCATTCCACTCCCACAATGACATCTGTCTTCTTAAAGTTTGTAACCAATGTTTTTCCACTGGTTATACATTTCTGAGTCAAGTCTCAAATCTCCTGAAGCAATGTGTTCTTGCTTTAAACGTCCAAACACAGCATAGGACAGCACTTTTAAAATATTGAACCCACTGTTCTGTGGGTAGTAATGCATGAATAAATAAGTATGTTGCTGTCACTGTTACTGTTTACTCTAATAATAAAACACATTAATGATTACATTTTGGTGATTTGTTATTGAACTAGTGAAAATGCTAGCACTTAATTGCATATGGAATTCCAAAAGTATTTATTGAATCTTTTAAACTCGAGTCTATTCACTGACCATTGAATGTTTTGATGTAAAAGAAAACGCACAAGTGAAATGTTGCCTAGCAACAGCTTCTGTAAGAGGAAGAAAACAGTGCTTTCAGAAGAAATGCTGAAGAATTTCAAAATAGTAGCAATATTCAGAACACATGAGGAGTGAATTGATGTCATAGAAACGTAGGAAGAGTTCAAAATGTGTCCAGAAACACCTGTTCACCTCTGTCAACTCGCCCAGTAACATACTTGCTAATAAAGAACTAGGAGGGCAGTTTATTTTCCATATATTTACTCTGCATTTTGGTATACATGGGTATGTGTGTAGGGTTATAGGTAACTCAAAAGTAAAATAATCAGTGCTTTAATTAGTCTTTATCTGAGTAATGAAGTAATCCCTTTGCAATTAAGAAAAGTAATTAGTAAACAGCCATTGATTACTTCTTCCAAACTACACTAACAGTGGACAGAACCCATCCATAGCACTTTCCCCACTGGGTTTTAATCGCTGGAAGAGTAATGGGGAAACGACATTTATTTTGGGGATGTGCCATGCCATATGTGCAACTGGGTGAAAAGTGAGGTCTTAATATTAAGCGTTCTGTTCTTAAATCCACATCCTCTTGACACAATGCCAAATCTGAGGTAGCATATGTTTATCAAACACAGAGTATTCAGTGTTGTATTGACAAGTACCCCCATAAAAGATTCATTGAAGAAGCAACCAGCAACCCTGCCTGCTCACTGGGAATTTCTTTTGTGAAGACCCACAATGCCAAGAGGCTTGCTGTGTGCTGTCTAATTGTATTGGTGGAGATATAATGATAGAACACAGGCTAGCCAAATTAATTGAGGCTTGCCAGTCACAGCACAAATTATGCAGCAAATGCTGCAGTGCTGCGTGTGAGAAAGTCACTGCACCAGAGCCAGAGCAGGCATTACAGTCAATGTAGGTGTAGATTATGGTCTGATACAGGGCTTGTTGCAAGTTAAGAAAAACTAACAAACAGATCCCTTCTGACGTCTTGTGCAATAGGTTCTGTGGTGTAATATGACATCACACAATATTGCATGATTGTGTGATTATGGAGCATATGGGGATTTATTTTCTTTCTCTTCAGTCACATCTGATGTATAACTCTACAACCTGTTGTGCTAAATTGAATATTAAAGTAACAGGTGGCACGTCTTCCTTATATATGTAATATGTGTGACCCATTTACATTCTGTCTGCTCCCAGGTATGAACTACCACTGAGCATCATCTCTAGTTGCAGAACTAATAGACTCTTGACTCTAAGTCACTAAAAGACTTGCAAATTATAAATTCACCACTAATGTGTTCCACATTATCATTTGCTTTTTTTGTAAGAATCTGAAATATGATTAGAATAATAAGCCATTAAAAAAAAATTACATCTTGCCTATCAGGCAGGGAAAACTGTTGCAAGGGCACCAGTGCAGTGCATGATGTTTTACTGCCATCTGTTGCCAATACTTTCAGATGTTTTATGCAATAGTAATATTTTAATGATGATCCTCCCTCATTATTAATTTTCTTCAGGGGACTGTGAAGGAGGCTTCTTTGAAACAGGATTGTAAAAGACAAACACCTACTATCAGGTTTAACAAATACCTTTGTGTAAAGGTGCCGGGCTGAAAGTATTTGCAAGGTCCCTTAACATTGCAGGTAATATTTCAGTGGCGATCCTCTGGAAAGTGATGCAGTTGCACTGAATTAGTCACACACAAGAAGTGATCTAAATGAGGATGTTAGAGATGACAAATCACTTATGATTTGCGCATTAGCCAGATGAAGAAATGCATAAATGATGATGGAGTAAGTAAAAATGATCATAGCCATATTGTGTTTTTGTGTGTTTGGAGAAAATGAAATATTCATACGTTTTTGTTTGTTTACCTCAAGTTGGGAATTTGCTATTGTTGGTCCTATGAGACCCAGCACTGAATGGTGCACCGGGAGCCCAATAAGAAATTACACAGTGCTTCATCTCTGCGCTAGACAAACCCTGGTCTCTTTTTCTTCTGATTCACTCATATGTTTGTTTGTGTAATGTAATCCATTGTGGTTTTGTCTTTGTATGTATGTCTGTGTGTGTGGTGGTGATGATGATGTGGAGCTGTGGGGCATATTCCTAGCTATCTAGCTACTAGACCAAGTAAAGCAGTCATAGTCATCTTTATAAATAGTCATTTTTGCCTTAGAGCAGGACCAATGTAAATTAGCCCGGTGGAGCATTCAATGTGCTCACGAGAGCTCATCAAGTAACATCATCCTGTTTGCTTAGTGAGCATGCTCTCCATGTCTCATAGGGACAGTCTCTGCAGCAATTGCAGGCCAAATAAAAAGCTACTGTAGCATACACCAAAATATGTCTCACATACCTTCTGCAAGAGAGAGTCACTATTGTGATGATTAATATCTTACCAACAGTTCATTTTTGCTGCACAAAGACATGGATTGCAATATTGGATCATTTCGGGCTTTTCATCAGGATCTTGTTATATTCTTGCGAGTTGAAAATGAACAGTAGGACAACGTAGTTTTTAGAAATCCCTCAGAATAGGAGAATAACCTCAGAAACACACTTAGCACCTTGAGGATGGCAATGGACATTAGGTTGCATTTCACGTTTGCAGACTTAAATATCCCTTAGTTTATCTGTGTGTGTTTGTACAAAACAGCTCCTGTGATTTACCTGTAATTAGTCCTACCGGAAGTTGTATGCGTGCGAGTGCCTCAGGGATGTGTCCTGGAAGGCTGTTTCAAATTAGCAGGAGGGCGATTGCCCTGATTGTTTCCATCTGGCCATTAAAGCAGACATTTGACGGCTTTTCCTCATCAACGGTGGTGTGATGGCAAAGAGTGGATGAATGAATTTTGCAGAATCACATTTTGGAGATCAGAGATGCATTACTTGTATTACATTTTCCACAGGCAAACAATGAATAAACTGATTGAACAAAAAATAGTGCATCATGTAGATTACCTCCAGAAATGTGTTTGTGTGCGTGGCGCAGACCCTTTGCATAATGTACAGCCCTGTAAAGAGGCTGCTATTGTATATTGCCGGTATAAAGCCAATGATGAATTGGAGCGAGGGAATCACTTGACTTTGCCAAAGCTGGAATATGACACAAGTAGACCAGCTACTTAACATTATGGCTGCAACATTAATGACTAGTACAATTGTATATTTCCCCAGAGAGACACAGGGGGTCAAATGATAAAATTGTCTTCCTACTCATTAGGTTTATAATGTATATCTAGTTTGTGCCCTCATTTTATCATTAATTAATCCTGAATGACATAATGAGCACTTACACCCATGGTAATGTTTTACTGGCTGATTTGTTTACTCATCATCATCTTTATTATTATAATTATTATTATAATTATTATTATTATTATTATTATTGTTCATATACGTTTTATTTGAAATAGTTATCGTATCTTATCATGTACTGTGCTATATCATGTAAATTCAACTGGTTCTGACTGGTCTGGACTATCTCTATGGTTTATCTGTGGTGTATTTACAGGCATTATTATATGAATTTCATATGTGCTGAGGAACACAACATCGCTGAAGCAATGAGCAGAAACCTATTTCTGGACTTATTATTTAAATCCAGCTATGGAAGCCGTTCTTTATTTGTGTTGTCTCTCCTGGGTTTTGGCCGTTCGCGTAGGATACAAACGCACCATTGCCTCCAACCTAATCTACCAGTGCATAACGCATCTCAGAAAATAGTGTGTAATGTATACGTAGTCATACATTGTCAGGTAATAGTATAGTCTCAGTGGTCACATTAGCAGCTTCACTACTGTGACTGCTCTGTCTGCTCTGTCTCTCTGACACCAGAATCTTTTTCATGCTTTGCTGGATTTATTGTAGTAGTATCAGATATTGCAGCCTATCTAACTGACCCTGACCTCTCTCTGTTCTCTCTCAACAGATACAATCTGCCTGTTGGCAAACAAGGAGGGTTATGTATGATTGAAATAGCTGCAGATAATGGCACAGTTCACCGTCTCGAGGAGTACGTGTCACACCCTGTGACACAGGTAAGCTGACCTGCCTGCAGTCAAATCAACCCCTTTGTACAACCACTTTCTTCAAATTGACATTTCTAACCCATAATCATGTATTTTGTATCTCCTTCTCCTTAGACATACTAAAATGTTAATTAAAACCGTAATAGATAGTTGTCATGCATGACTTTGATATAAACCATGGTCATGAATGTCAATAAATTTTAAAACAATTTGCAGGCCAATCATAGTTTGTATTAGTCAATCTGTTCACTTATTGAATACATTATTATCTAACATTTCTAAAATCAGTTACTGTATATTTGAGGTTAAACCTGCTCATGCAATATATTGTGTTCTTTGCTGTTGCTTTAGGTGCTTGGGAGACATGAAATAACCATGATAATAACACACAATAAATAATCCAGGAATTCCAGTTTTGAGTAATAGATGTATGTGTTTGAATGCTTATCAGGTGCCAAAACACTGCACAGCAGTTCATGTTACATAGTAATCTACCAGGAATTTTTGACTGGCCACCACAGCACCTTACCAGATGATGCGTTTCGGCAAAAGCTGAGCAAGATTCAGCTCTTTTGCTGGACAACTGTGCATTATTTTCCTGGAACCTCTGCTCTGGCTGCCCTGCTGTATGACAAGCCTGCATTTATTTTGTCAGTCTCAATGTGGCCTAAAGCTCATTATTTAGCAGCACTTCAATCCAATACAGTCCAGCACACTTGCTTGGATTAGATCGTTTCTGATTGAAATCCTAATTTTACCTATTTCAGGCTGCTTGTGATTAGACAACAGTTGAAAAAATGGTCTTTTCTTCAAGGATGTTCCTCATAGTAAGGTACAGAAAAAATATATTGTTTTAGCATTGGTACTATATATCAGCACTAGTATCAAATAATTTTAAAGGATACTGTAAATAGTGTTAGTGTGTTGGTTTATATAAGCTAAAAGCACCTCGCTGCTGCCTGATACAGCTAAATCATGGATTGTATGAGTTTGCAATTTATTTATTTTTGCTTTAATCACTTCTAGAACTTCTGACAACATTATGAGTAGATTAACCATGACATTAAAGCCAGCCTAGCCCCCTGTTTTTACCTAACAGCAGTTGCCTCATAAATGAAGAACAGGAGCTCCCATTAAAACCATTCACACCTGTTACATTATTTGCCAAGATGATCACACTTGGCAAAAATTGTTCTTAATAACAAGCATGTAAGTAGCACTAAGCTAGTTCTCACTTGTTAATCACAAGCTGGTCTTTTCACTCTGGCTCATTAATTTGATTAACAACACCTATATTTGTTAATAAATTAATAAATTTTTTTTTTCACTTTCAAAGACGCAGAGAGGGGATCAACCTTCCCACAGGCTCAACATGCCTCCCCCTCCCTCAATGTGATTTATGGTTGTCTAATTTGAGATTCCAAGATGTTTCTATTCGTTTTTTCTTTTTTTGTGTGCTGATAACACATTCAGTACACAAATAATCTTTGCTATAGTTATACTGCACATTGGTAGCCAGTTACCCATTGCCAGCTTTTATAGAAGACTAACGTGTTACCATGATTTAAAGACATAGTAAATTAATGGGTTTTGTTAAACCCCAGTCAAATTGAACAAAATTTGATTAGACAAATTAATATTTTTGTTGTTTGGCTTTGAGTTAATTGCATTAAAATGACAGACAGTAGGAAAAGCAGAAAACTCACACAAGTTGTAATACAGCAATGAAAGAAGCTACTTACAATGTGAACTTCATGTTGTAGCCTGTCCAGACTTTGAAACCCTTAGAGGCCAATTTGTGATTTTAGGCCATGAATAAATTTGATGGGACTTGAGGAGCTTGAGATAAAACCAACACTCCACACATGACCCTTCAGACATTAGAAAGATCATGACATTAGCTGTTGTCAGAGCAGCATTTCTCACAACCATTAACAAAATAAACTGGTATTTTTTCAAAATATAGAAAGGCCGGACTGTAAAATCAGTAAAACCAGTCATAGCCACTGTTACCTTTGGTAGTTTGAACTGGAAGCCAACTGCAGCAGAGAGAACATTTTAAAATCAAAATATTTTAAAATTCTGTCCTAATTCTCACAGTGTGCCAGTGTGAGGGTTCAAGACCTCGAGTATCATGAACATATTGATTATTTTGTTTTGAAAGTCTTACTACTACATTTTTAACTAAGGTCACGTTTATAGAACAAACTTTTAAGGCTCAATTAGAGTTTACTGCACAACACTTTTTTGCCTGTAGACATGGATGTTTTTCAGTGGGACTGAGTTGGCTCATCTAAACAGAACACCATCTAGAAATATAATAATGAAATGGAGGCCACATTGACTAGTGCTGCCTTCAAATAGAACTCAAGAATCACCATACAACACTCATGAACTCATTCAGTGAGTCCACTTGCAAAATCATGAATATTACATCAGTGGGTCTTTTAAAATGGACTCATAAACATGGTAAACACACTTGAAGGCACCATAAAGTCATATCATATCAGCCGGTTGTCATCATGCAACTCCAGCGGCTCATAGCTGGTTGTGTCACATAAAATACAGTTTAGCTCATTGTAAAAGTATCCAGCCACAGTCGCTTATTTTATTTGAAGCTTTGTTAAGTGTAGTCTTAGGGCTCTTAACTTTGCGGGGACATTACATACACGTTCCTGTGAACCCTGTCAACCGTGTCTTTTCATAGGCTTTCAAATATGCAGCAAATATGTCATTTAAAGCTTACATTAAGCCAACAGCCCAAATGATTATGTGGTCTAACACCTCAGTGTCCCTCTGCTGAACAGCTCCACTGCAGCTGTCCAACACCTTTTCTCAAGCTCCAACATGGAGTCAAGATGAATGTTTGAGGGACGTCACAGCCTTATACATTCTGATATAACTGCTAGGATTTTATAACAGCTGATGTGAAATTGAAAACATAAAACTCAAAGCGCAATTTGAAATGTTATTAGAAATCATATTTGCTGTATTCTTTATGAAGGATTTTGCCCTATTTTGTATTGCGTACAAAGTTGGATATCATCAGAATAACTTTTTACCTAGTAAGATGAGAAGAAGGAGATTATTTTGGACATACAGCCTCCCATAGCAACACAATGTAGAAGTTCACCCTTATAAATGTATTGTTAAAGTAAGGTATTAAATGTAATGACCCTCTATATGAAAACCAGCTTCTCATATCTGCCATGACCAGATGTGATAAAATAAAGTACCCATGTTAACAGGATCAAACAAGGATATTAAGTACAGCCAGTATCCACGTTTAAGAGTTGTTGGCAACTGTCAAAAGAAAGAGAAAGTTTGACAGCATTTTCAAATGTATCCACATTATTTGAAGAAGTAATATATAGGAATGGGAGAAGCCTTTGTTTCTACTGAACACAAGTTTGACAGTGTTATAATGTTAGGGCACTACTTGTGATCACATTATTATAGAAATTAATGTATTGATAAATTGCAAAATCTAAAGGGAAGGTATTTATTTTGCATACTGTTACCTATAACTATTCATACATTGACCAGAAAGCCACTTTGACCCAGGGGAGTTTTATTTCAAAATCCACTGTCGCCATGTTAACATAAATTGAAAGAATGTGTAATGAAGCTGTGATAAATGTTAAGTTGTCTTTCATAAATTAATCATCGTGAATGGTGTGGTATGAAAGTGTTATGTAAACCTTCCAAATAAAAAGTAGTATTCAATATTCATTTGAACAACCGGAGGTCACCGCTCTGAATTAAATATATGTAATTTATCGCTAATATGTGATGGTCTTGTGCTGCATTTTTTATGCAGCTCTACTTTGGTAGCAGAAACAATTATGCCGTACTTGTTAAATTGACCGTTATGGTACGATAAGCTGCAAGTTCACAGAATTTATCTACATTAATTCTACCCAATTACCTTGCACATCAGAGAAAGCTTGCAGCATGTTTTATTGTATCGGGATGTGTATTATCATATGATGTGAGGAAGACTGAAAAAAGAAGAGATTACGACCCCAGTATCTTGTCAGGGTCATTCTAAAACTGGAGAGTAACAGTAGCTGATAGTGTTAATCTTTCTTGTTGGTCTTAATGTACAATAAGGTCCTGTTGTAACATAATTTTAATATATTCACACACACACACTGATATTGAGCCTGTTTTAGCTGCAAAGCTCATACTTGAAGGGACACATACATTGTATGATTTAGTGTGATTTACTAAACGATAACACTGATCACTGGCTTTCCACCATTTTTTTTTTGCAGGGAACCTTTGGACCCATATTTCTTGGGGATGTTTCATCCCACTGGGAGATACATGACGGGAGAGCAAAGGGAGCGAGGAGATTCATTGGATGTATCAGGGAACTACAGGTCAACTCAAAGGAGATTTACCTGGTGGGTGAGGCGGTGAGAGGGAGAAACATCAAGAACTGTGACCCGCCTGTCTGCCAACACCTTCCCTGTCGGAACGGAGGAACTTGTGTCAGGTACTAGGTCACCTTTTACTATTATTAATGAAAAGTTACTAAACTTTGAAAGCTATTAAGAAAATTTCCCCACATTTTCCTCCTATAATAATAATACACGACAACATCCAAGAAATTACCCCAGAAACAAGAGTAGTGTTTCAGACTGGATATGCTTATGCTATAAACAACAAAGATAATAAAAAAAAAATGTTTCATCTCCATGTTAGACCAGCTGTTTCCTGCTGCCCATGTGGCTCAGTATGAAGCCCGACTGTCACAGCCAGTGTTTCTGCTGTAGGAATATATATTCCAGTTTTAATAGTTTTCCCAATCTCTAAAAACATGAATGGAGCTGAGGCTGTGGGAGCTTTGAGCACACACTAACCCAGTCAGCCAGCTAGTGAAATGACAGTTTTGGCAAGAGCTCCTCTTCCCAGCACCAACCATTTCTTTTCAGTTGTCAAGCTTATCTTATCTACGTTGGACTAATTTCCATTTAGGCCTCCTCTAGGCTAACCGTGCCCTGTGAAATATTGGACTGGGACTCAGTATCTGCACAAAATGAACATAAATTAATTATTAAGAAAAATTGAAAAAATTAATTAATTGTAATACATTTAATTGGTACCTGAATGTGTCATTTCAACAACTTTTTTGTGGTAAAGTTTGGAACATGTAAGTCAGTAACAGTTGAATGCTACTAATTAAAATCCAAATCTAAACTAAAAACGGTTCTCAGCTTTGCAACGAGATACATTTTTTCAACAGTGTTGATCAAAGCGTGAGTTGTTAGAGAGTTTGTAACACTGCACCAATTACATGTACAACACAAAATAAAAGTGCAATAACTAAATTCAGGTGAAAAGCAAACTGCCGGCTTCAGTGTGATGGTTCCTGTCTCCCTCAGTTCAACACCTCAGTAAAGAGTTGGCACAATAATAGAGGTCAGCTAGTTGTTGACCATCTCCTGGTTTTCTTCATTTTCAGTCCACCTCCACTTCTGGTCTTTGACATTATGACATTTAATACAGATCACAGACCATCTTGCCAATATGTCCCACAGCAGTTACTTATCTGGCAGAGGAGAAGCTTTGTAAAATAAAATAAGAAGATTGCTAATATTGTTGATGTTAACACCAAAAGAACGTATCTAACTCTATGTCTTTAAAGCTACTATAGTACATAATGTATGAGAAAGCAGTCGTTTATAGTATTGAACCCACAGAAGGATCCCCATACTTTATAATACGCATCAATCAGGCCCACAGCTTTACTGTTGTGTTGTTTTTACTCACAGCAGCACCTGTTTTCAGTAAAAGTCCACTGTTCACTACCTGCACAGCACCAACCAGCCAGCCGACACAGCAGTTAGTTACTAGTTGGTGATCAGTGGAGAATTTAGCTTCTGAAGAGCCAGAAATATTTTCCTCAAGAGTTGGTGGAGACCAAACCAGAGCTAAAATGAGAGTAAACACTGGACTCACATTTATGGGTGATGTATGATGGCTGTATGTGTTATAACTTTGGATTATTTATTTTAATGTCACATAGTGTCTATACTTTGGAAGTTAATTTATTAAGTGCCATTTACTTATAAAAAAGAGACTGGCAGAGGATTATGTACCTTGTAATAATGATTGGTAGTCTTTCAGAATTCCGAATTTAGCCAGGTCTGTGTACACATACAAGGAATTTGACTCAGGTTTTACGCTGCCTTCAGCGTACATACACAGAAATAGGCATACATACATACAGCAAAAAACTATGATATTATTTATGTAGTAGGTTGTTTTAGATATGTGAGGTTTGTGTATATCGTAGTATACACAGTAGTGCATGAGTGATTACATGTTGTATTTAAACAATTAGATTATGTAATTTCCAGGTACAGTGGATGATTGAGTCACAGGGTTATTGCACAGGGGTTGCTCCTCACACTATGTGTCTGGTGTTAACTGTTTCATCACCTTGATTTTACACAGAAATGTGTAATAATGTAATGCAAAATCATTAAATGTTAATTATCGACAAATCCTTTGCCCAGCTGTGCACGAAATAAGGTAGTCAAAGTGCTGTTCCACCCCACTTATTTTTTTATAAATCTACACTGCTTTGTACAGTAAAGGTAATCCCTGGGCCAAACTTAGTTCTTTGTGCTAGACCAAATATGTGCTAGACCAAATATGTGAAGGTCTGTTTTTCCTTCCTGTACCTTTATCTAGTACAGCTCATCAGACTGTCATCACACACCACTTACCAGCAATTTTGCCTGTCTTTTTAAGTATGAATTAACTAAATATGATGCTCTTTCACCTTAAGTAATCCAGAAAGTAGCTGCTCTAAATGTCTTCTTTATTGTATTATGACACTATAAATTAACAGTTGCTTTTATTAAACAGGAAATGAAAAGGGGCACCGTGAATATTGGAGTATGAATGGCTCTAAGAATACCAATTAAGAGCCAGTGCCATTGTGGTCACATTGGCTTGTCATGTGCGAAAGAGTGGGCCTTGCAATTATCTGTGAGATGAATACGCATTAATGCAGTATCCTCTTGAACCACACAGCGTGCAGGGGTCATCGGGAGTTCACAGAGCCCTCTTCTTTCTGTCCTGGATTGCCACAATATAATAGAATAAAAAAGGATTTTGATTGTGGGTTCAGTTGGGGTGACTTTGGCGGCGTCCCCTTTTCATGTGGTTTTATGTTCACTTCAGCATGTAGAAATATCAACATTAAACCCAAGAGGATAATGGCTTGTGATTGGTGGATGATACATACATATTAGGTATTTAAGTGACACCAATGTGAAAAGCCAGGCAATCAGCACCTAAGGACTATGGCCTTTTTATTCTTCAGTGCCAGCTCTGTGATGCCGGATATCTGTGTCATTTATAAACCTCAGCTGTGGTTAGACTGATTGTAAATACAGCAGATGGAAATGCTAGAACGGAAATGGTTTCCAAAAGGCACACACACATTCATCCTGTAAATACTTTGCAGTTACTCTGCAACAAACAAGAACACTAGAAATAAGGGAAGAATATTTCAGTCTGTATTTACACAGTTATTTATGAAATGCAACCCGTCATCATCTTCTGATTAGACAAATAGAAAAATATATACAACTGCACAATCCCAACTGTGTAGTCCACATACAGATGTGCAGATGTACCTGTGACCAATTGTGCTGGGTGAGGTGTGAAGAGACACCTGCATCCTCTGTTCCCTGTCTGTGCTTGGATGCTGATGGCATCCCTTTGAGCTTTTCTATCATGGACCTGCAGGGTGTCTGTGGTTAGGGTGTAAGGACTAGGATTCAAAACAACCATTGTACCCAGCAATGTTTCGTTTTTTGCTTATTTTTTGTATAAGCATTACAAGTTCAAGACTATGTCCCATTACCCATTTTAATATAATAGTAAGTATATATATTATTCTTTTTTTAATTATTATTATTTATTATTTTAATGAGTTAGATGGAAGATGGTGATCTTTCATAAAAATCGGTAAATAACATTTTTAAACAAATATTTGCATGTGTACTTAATATGTTATTTACTTCATTGGAAACATTTTGCCATCCATGAATGAATCCCCAGAGTTTCCACTGGCAACCTCACGGACATCTCAGGATTAGAGGAAATGACTGCACCCAGCCAACAATCTGACAATTTTTTTTTTACCAGTTCTATAATTGCAGTGATTCAACAAATGAGTATGATGTGTTAATGAAGGAGCTTTAGGGGTGCTTTAGAGGCAGATTGTGTTACCTTTGGAAAGATCCAAGGCTAGCCACTAGCCCCCTTTTTCAAGTTTTTGCGCCAAGTTAACTGCTTGCTGACGGTAGCTGCCTTTATTACCATACAGAGAGTGGTATCTTCTCATGTAATTCTCTGCAAGAAAACAAATAAATACATTTCTCAAAATCTCAAACTCGACATGGCAAACTTGTTTGCAAAAACTTGTTTATCTGCACATCTGGCAGACATGGAGCAACATTAGCATTCATTTGGGCGGAGGTTTTTGGCTATCTGATGGTATAAGTAAATAAAAAAAGTGTCACTCTTTAGGTGCTAAATGCTCCGATAGGTTCACCAACTCGGTGGAAACTTTTTCTATTAGCTTGTTTGGTGCTGGGCAGATGCACAGTAGATTACAGTGGTGACAGTGACACAAAACAGGCCATAAAACCAAAACAACTGGTTGAAAGACTCTGAAACGCAGAGGGGAAATGCAGAATTTAGTAATCATTAGTTGTGGGGTCTCTTACTGCAAATTACAGCTTTCACATACCCGCAGTCTTCATTTATTGTTTCATAATATAATACTTAATAATACTAAGTCTACCTGCATTTAAGTTTTCATCAGATTGTGACCTCTTGTGACAGATTACATAAATAGATGTATTACTGAGTAAAGGATAGATATATGCTCACACACAGACACACACACACACATACACACACACACACACCAGATTTCATACAGAATTACTTCTTACTAATTGGCCTTGCTTGTTCTGTAATGGTCCAACTTCGGTGGCAAACAAACCTCCACTTAACAGTGAATTCTCCCGATGCTCCATTTCACCGCCTGCAAGTGTTCTTCACAAAGAAAGCAAAAACTATTTTATCTTAATCAGAGTTCCAGCTATACTTGTTTCAAAGTACCTATAAAATAACTCAAGGTCCAAGAAACAATTATTTTAATTCACCATGAGATACAAACATAGCTATCGTCCTGTGTGCGATTACTATCCCTGAGGAATATTTCCAGAGAAAACTTGCTCATTACAGAGTTTATTGTATTTGTGTCTTTGAATTTTGGAGGACATGTGTATTCAAAACAACTGCACGATGGTGTGGTGTTTTTTGGGCCAAATTGGTTATTTTTATACATTTTCTTGTTTAGAAATGAGTCTCTGCGTAACCTTGACATACTTGGCAATAACCAATAATGATTATATATTATTATAAGTATTAAGTCTTGCATGACTCAGTATGAAAGCATACAGGAACACTTCTGCTTTTGATTTTTTCTTTTAGACCAGACCAGACCAATTAAACAACACAATAGAAGGAGGATAGGTCAATGTATTTATGTTTCCAAGTATGTTATTATGATGTATTAGGAAAGTTCAATTTGTTTTTGAACATTCTGCACTGTCTCATAAAGACTGAATATAAATAACTGTACTGTATGAGAGTATTTTTTAAAGTGGTGTTGTTTTATATTTTTCTTATTGCTAAGTGATCTCATGAAAAGACCAAAACCAATACAACTATACAGTTTCTCTCAGTACTTTGCAACTTTGCTACCCTGCCGGTATCCATGGTAACGAGGGAACATGTCATTCTAGTAGGATCAGTTTAATTTTGGCCATGGGATTTGTTGCCAATTATAGAAATACATTGTAGCACATCTAGTTGTTTATTTGAATCCAAGTTGTGAATGGGACATCTATATTGTAGGCCATATAACCCGAACTGTCACCTTGTTATAAAAATGTGCAAGACTCTACTATGGTAAAACATATTATCTACAGACACCAAATATTCCATTACTACAGAGACCAAACTTGGTAAAAGTTTGGTCTCTGTGGTCTGTGTCAAAGATTTAGAGGAAATGAAATAATTGTCGCGTGTGTGTGCGTGCACGCGTGGGCGCATGCGTGAATTCACACATCCTCGAAGCGTTCATTTGCAAGTGGCTTTGGTGGGAAACATTGTGATCTCCCGTTAAAGGAATCTGTTCTCTACAGTGAGGTGTTAGACATCTCCACAGCATTCTAGACAAAAACATCATGTTATGTTATTCATCCAGCTCAACCCAGTCTTCAATGTGCACATCATTTTTCACTTAATGGCTGTGTTTCCTTCTTTAAAACTTTGTCATGTCAGTGATAGTTTGAGCTGTTTTTTTTTTCCTCCTTTCCCCTTTTAAACACTGTTTCAGTTTTGGTTCCAACAACAATACAGCTGAAAATTTTGCCTTTTTTTTCCTTCTTTTTTTCTGTTCATAGAAGTAGGTAGAACTTCACATAATTTGGCCCAATGACAGCTTGCTATAGCTACCCGTAGCCTGCAGTCTATGTAGTGGACAAGTTTTGTGTTCATAGAGAAAATATTTCAGTAAATCTCACCCATCAAAGAGGCTGGTTTAACTGACAGCTGATGCCAACTCAAGTCTGAAGCAAATACATTTTCCTACCGATTTATCTGTCTAAACCAGCATGAAATGTTAACTCATATAAAATAACTTGACAGACATGTGGCAATGCATTCAGTACAGTGTTATGTAATGTTAAGGAAGGTGCTAAGGTTTTTCCTTTTCAGCCAATGTATCAGGAGTTTAGAAATGTTGAAAAAAAAACTGAATAAATACACTGGCACATTTGAAAAGTGTTTAAACATGTGAATATACTTTGTGTTACAGAGTGCGGTGTGTTCTAGGTTGGGCCGTAGAAATATTGTCTGATCCCTTGAGAAAAGTTCCCTCATGCTTTATGCCTCCTTTCTATAAGGATTTTATTTCAAGTATCATCTAAAGTATGCTTCTCTATGGCAGTATGTTTCAAAAGACTCTGTGATGGAGACTTAACAGACATCACCCCTTTTCACCACCAAGGAAATGTTTGCAAGGGTGCCTGGAAGAGGTCAGAGAAATATCGAACAGCCGTCTGCTAAAACAGAATTCTGCCTGAGTAAGTCAGGTGAATGCCATGTGTAAATTCCATTTCATCCCTTTGCTCAAATTCATAAGACAAATAATTGAGTGCGGATCTAGTCCTCTTTCAAATGATTTTCCCTCCCACCCACCAAGAATCATAGTGTCTGTAGTACAACGACGTCCAGTTGGCTGTTTACAATACTGGTAAGCAAATGGCGTTTCAGCACCAAAGCAGTTCTTCTCTATAAATAATATTTGCTAAACCCAGTGGTCTTTTTTATTTTAACAAAGGATGAAGTGGGCTAAATGCTTTCATCCCGAGAACTAACGACTGCCACAGCAGCAGACTCATCAGTGCCTTACTGTAGAAGTGTATTTGCATACCAACAAGCACTTGAAAAGAAGTATTCTGTAAATAACTTACAAGGGATGAAATTTGAGAAATGCATGTGGCCGAACAGCTTATTGTTCTAGCTGACAGGGATATCATAAGCTAAGCGGTCAATTATTAATTATTTTATCTGGTACTCATTAGATTAAAAATGTATTCTTCCTCAATAATTTATTCAGCCTACAGTGTGCTGTAGCGGTGAAGTCTTTGAATGGCATGAGATATGGCGAGTACCGGCTTTATGCATTTGTGATTTACATATTCAAATTAGTTTGCAAACATTACCACAATTTCATCATCAAAGTGATTACCTCAGCCAAATTAAAACAACCTTTTGTCACTCCACACATCCAAGTTTTTGATTAGGCCAATTAAACCTCAAGTGTTTTCAACGGTGCTCCTTCCCCGCCTCTATCTACACTTTACCTTTTTGGAGAAATATTTGCTGCCTGTTTTTAGTGCTTATGTACAAGTCATTATCTTCCCTTAAATTACTTGAGATTTAATAAGTCCATTTTTGGCGGGTTTTTTTATGCTTTTGAGGATCAAAAATATTTGTAGCTCGTGAAACAATGAACATATGTCAGGCAAATCTCCACGCCCAACAGATTGTTCTCTGTACTGTTAATTGTGAGCTGCTTTCAACACATTGAAAATTGTTGTGTACACAATAAAGGTTGTGAATAGTTTCAAGGTTAATATTTTGGTTTTTTTCCTTTGTAGTAAGAGCCCATTTTTGTATTTCTGCTCAATAAAACTGCAGTGCACAGTAACCTTGCTGTACTTAGAATATTTCAAACAAAAATGTTCACATCAAATTTTATGTAAAAATACACCAGTTTATAAATATATCCTCAACTAAGCCACAAAACTTGTTTGTAGAAATGTGTCCACATAGAGGCAAGTTTAAGGAATCATCTATGAAAGACTTTGCTGCAATCAGAAGAGAATATTTAATTTGTTTATCCATCCATCAATTTATTTTCTATACTCACTTATCCTGTGCAGGGTGGAGTATTGGAGCGCTGGATAAGTTGCAGTGTCTCAGCAAAAACAGACAGACAAACATATTCCCACTTACATTCACACCTACCAGCAATTTAAAGTCTCCTATCCTGCATATTTTTTGACTGTGGGAGGAAACTGGAGCATCTGGAGGAAAACCCTTGCAATTTGTGTGTCACCAACATTTAAACGCAAACCCTAACTGACAATACAAGAGACAAATTAGCAGCACTCAAAGCATTCACTGCACAAGAGTAGTTCCATTAAATATTTGATTCAGGTTGTCAAAGATTATACAATAACAATGCCTGTTCTGTTCAACACGTGACAATTTTCATCTGTGACTATTATTTTGAAAATAATGGTCACAACTGGCAGCGACAGTGTGTAACAGTGCATCACTGTGCCTTAAAATGTCTCGAAAATTGACATTAGCAGTCTGTTAATAATCATACACTAGAAATTTTTACTGCATTATACAACATCCTTTTGTACTTCAATACAGTCATATCTAACAATGCTCAACTCTGGTGACAGAACGTAAATATTTCATTTCAAGAAGCCAGTTTCTCAAGGAGCAAACTACATCCTGCAGTGCTGCTGCTCAAAACACATTATTAATTTATAGATTTGAAACCCCACCAGTGCTTCCTCCATCTGATATTATACCTTTCAAAGTTGTGCACATCTCAGAGCATTTTATAAAGTCCCTGTCTGCATATTACTTTGCATGCTAGATCACCCTCCTCTTCTTTCCAAGAGAGGAATCACACGCATATGAATCTAGGAAAGAAGACATTGAAAATCCTGTACAATTTCAGGTTCACGTTTTCTGTCATGCCACTAATCATCTGCTTTCTGCTGTTATTTTTTACCTGTGTTTACTTTTACCAAAAGACATGAGAAGTAATTTCTGCCTCTGCAGGAGCTACTAAGATGAATAGATCCAGACCAAGATTCATATTTTTCTCCACCGCTATCTACACATTCACTCAAATGCTGGTGTTTCAGCAGAAGTATTCCATCAGGCTGGACACATTTACTCTTAACATCTTTTCAAATCTTTCATGCATTACAGTAGTATGGGTTGTTTTATCATCACTTCTCTCCCTGTGTGTTCTGTAGGCCACAGTGTGAGTTTGTAAAGCATCTGGACATGTTGCTGCAATGTCATGGTCCATTTTCACCTCTGCCCTAATGATGTCTCCCTCTATGTCTACACGTTTAGCGATGCTGAGGACTGGTTCTGTGAGTGCCCCCCGCTCTACACAGGCCGGCTGTGCCAGTTCAACGCTTGTGAGCGCAACCCCTGCGGTCATGGAGCCACATGCATCCCAAAGTCGCCTTTGGAGGCCGTATGTCTCTGCCCTTATGGAAGACAAGGTCTACTATGTGACGAACGTAAGTGTTACAGCTCCAAACAGATCAGTGCGGCACTGATTTAGCAGCTTTATTGAGAGGCTGATCTGCAAACAGTTGGTGAATGAGAGCCCTGAGCATTTGGTAGAATGAGAGTCTGTTGTTAAGTAAAGGGATTAATGAAACTAAATTGTGCTGAAAAAGCAGAAACGTCTTCCTCCAGCAATAGAGCAGGATAATCAAGGCAAAACTCGTGCTGAATATTCCAAAAGACTCTTCTCAGTTCATAAGATCTTATTTCCTAACAACTATAATTCCAGCAGTCTGACTTAAAGCAACTTTTCTTAAGAACTTTTTTCTTAAAATGTCAGGCTACTGCTGTAGCAGGGTGTTGATGTGTTCTCACGCTGTGTTAATAAGCTAGCTTGCTGTCACATCTGTCTGTCTGTGGTAACTTGTTTGAATTTCATCTTTGGCATACAATAACTGTATTTATATTACACAACTCCAAAGCTATAAGACAGTCATTTGATCAAGGGTCATAAAATGCTGAGTCGCTTACCAAGACTAATGATAATTTCGGAGCTGTTAGCATTTTGACCCTTGTTCAGGATAGTTAATAATGGCCTTGCAGTTATCTGACAATGGAAACGTGAAGACATCAGTGACAGGCTTTGTACTGTGTTATATTTTAACAAAAAAAGATGTTATTTGTCCCCACCTAAGCTGAGACATTGAATATACAGCTACAATGTGCAGTTGATACACATCAATGACCAAATACTTGCTAAGACTGACATTTCCATTTGTGTTTAATGCTAATTAGCAAATGTTAGCATGAGAAATGCTAACATTTGCTAACTAATCTATTAACAGTGCTAAACATACAGTCTAAAACATCAGCATGTTAGCAATGTCATTGTGATAATGCTAGCATGTTGACATTAGTATTTAGCTCAAATAACTGCTGTAGTACAGCTACATCGAGGTGCTAGCATGGCTATTAGTTTATTGCTTTGTTGACTCACAGTAGTAAAAGTTAAACAAAGCTAATGGCTAATTCAGGATGACCAAGAAGTTATACAGGAAGCTACATAAGTTGTATAGTGGTCTATTCTATAATTCCAAACAGTAGTACCATAAGAAGGAGACTTCACAGATCGTGGGTCTCACAAACAAAGGGTTTTGCTTGACTGAACTGACTGTAAGAGCAGCAGGGTGCTTGGCATATAAGTCGCTCAGCCATGTCACAGCCCCTGACAGAGTCTCAGCACCCACATGTCAAACAAAGTATTCTAACCTTCCAGTGCCACACTAAGTATATGGCTGACATTTGAATTTTAATCCTGATAACATCAGAAAAGATCAGAGTCAAAACTGATCACTCCTAAGGTCCCCTGCCTCTCTGTGCTCTTTTTGTACTTGATACGTTTAGCACCAATAATGTCAGTGATAGCATGGTACAAAGTTGTTGTCAAGCAGGAAACATGAAAGAGCAAAATGTTGTTTTCTAGCTGTTTTCAGGTCTTCATACTAATACATAAAGTGGGCAATGAACAAGCAAGAAATAGAGAAAATGGAGGGCTAGGAATTCGTGCTATTGATGCTGGAGTGCCTCAAGAGTTGAGTTCATAAAACATTAATGGATATTTAAAATGACTTCAGTCAGAATTATTAATGGTCTACCTTTGTACACAAGTGGCCCATACCTCCTGTTAAAGATTCATATTTAAAATGAATAGAGAAAAAAAAAGTGTACAGTACTGCTAGTACAGTACAACCATGTCTTGTTTCTCAAATCCAGTCATAGTTTATCCTGTCTGTCTTTAATTTTAGCATTGTTTGAAAATGATCATGTGACTATGATTATGATTTTAATTGTTTTAATTAAATTGTTTTTAGTCAAGGAAGGAATGCGTCAAGAGACTGGTCTGAGTGCACAAAGCAAGGAAAATAATGCGAACCCTGATCAACACAGTCTCACAATAAACAAACAAACAACACCCAAGTGTAGACATAGTTATGTAATGCAATCTATTTTAGTACATCATATTTCCATAGATACATTTTATACCATCCATTCTCAGTGGGTTTTAATGTTTGCTATTAAACACTGTGCAACATTATTCTGCATCAGCACTTCAGTTTAGTATTGATTTAGTGAGGTTTCTGTTAACCTTGCATTGTGCTGAGATTGAAACGAATATAATAGTATATTCTATACAGTATCTCTACCTCAGGAGAAGTGTTGTTTTCCAAGCTGCTCTGTGGCAGCTAAGATAGACACCATACACATGCAGTTTTTGTCAAAATGCATTTCACAATCTGGTGCTGCATGTCATTCTGTTTTTCTTCTGCCACTCCTGCTGGTTTGCACCATATTGCACAAATACCCAGCAAAGTGGAAATGCTATGTAATATTATTTGACAGAGTGTGGCGTTATAATCCATAGACAGATGCATTTCACAGAGGCAGTCCGTAATATATGTTAATAATATGTTCTGTACCCACTAGTTACAGAGTGGTGTACAATGACAATTTAATTAACAGATACTATGAACACAAAGAACTGTAAACAAAGAGGACTCAATTATTCCTGTCGATTTTGTATTTACACATCGATTATAATGCGTATGCCACATGCCTGAGAATAAGTGGCAGTCTGCACAATGGTTCAATGAGTATAATGAGTAACAGAAACCTAAAGATTTACTCAGTGATTCACTTCTACAATCCTATAACTTCCTATATCATAAGAGTTATTATGGATCCTTGTGAAATTGAATGAATGCTGGTTAACGCACCCAAAGGTAACTGATAGTAAAGGCAACCTTTTCACAGGCTTAGATTTACTATATGGGATTAAACCTGCCTGCAGCACAGTTATAAAATATGGGACTCTTCTAGTGTATGTTAAATAAGATGTAAATGGAGTGTTTTATTGTTTTATTGTTATTGAAATTAACTTAAAATCAAGACTGGATAAAATGCAAATTAAATTTTAGTTTTCTGTAACTTATAATGTTCAGTTATTGTAGACACTGTGTCAGAGAGGTGTTTATTTAATTCCCTGTCCCTCCCCATGTATACTTAAACACAGGGTAACCAACATTTACAATATAATGAAACAATAGGGCACCATTACAAACTGTGGCCTCAAAAGTTAGGACTGGAAATAAAGGCTGTGACAGTCGCAGCAAAAATGCGAACAATTATAACCCTCTCAAAGTTAAAGCAATTAAAGTAGAGCAGTTTTCTTGGATTCCTTTGGATGGTACAGTCTAGAGAAATATTTAATGGGGTGATAAACATAGAAACATATGCTGATTTAATCGCTTCACTTCCTGTGTGTGTTTTTCATTAAATTTACTTACTCTAAAATGTGGCCATAACAGATCATTGAATTATATCTGATATACGTATGTGTGTTAAATTTGACACCAAACTGGAGTGGCAGACATTTTTTAAGGAGTGCCCTATGCCACCCTTTAGATCCGCCCCTGTTCTTTTTTTTTAAATATGACATAAATGTTAACAGATGTTAATCAGAATAAGTTTATAAATAAATCAGTTTTGATAAGAAATTCTGATAAAAAATTACAATATAAAATATTATTCAACGTAAAACAGTTACTAACAGAATAGTTTCATATATAATTTGTAATAATAGAATATTCTATTAATTCCTGGTCATCTAAAATGTGCAAATATCAGTTTGGTTCAGTTCAGATACTTAATTTGTACAGAAGGCATGATGGTAACTCATCCATGAACCGAGTAAATAACTCAAGGTCATTTAATTTAGTAATAATAGCTGACATGTTTGTATCTGGTCTATCTGGCAAGACCACACGCACTAAAAGCCTAAAAATATGCCGTAACACTCTTTCAATGAAACAATAGGCAAATAAAGCTCTACCAGACTAGGGATGATAACAGAAGCATTTCCAGCTTTATTAATAATTTAGCAGCCAAACAGAGCTGAGGGCAGTCGCAGAGGGGAGTTCTGAACCCCTCTCAGCCATCGCCTGGGGCTGCAGAAGAATATGCAAGGTGTTTCCAGTGAAGAAGAAGTGCAGTTCTGTGTTTGAATCCTGACAGCTGTGTAAAAAAGAAAAACACACACACAAAAAAAAAAACTAAACACAGCAGCATGCAATTTTGAATGAGCGTGGGGAAATTTCCATTGAGTCCCCAGTGTTAAATCAAGTAGATAGGTATGCTGAGATGGAGAGAGCATTATTAAATCAACCATGCATTCTGAATAAGTAAACTTGTGGTTGTAATTGAATATCATTGGGATCATTGTGCTACCCTTGTGAACATTGAGTATGAAGCAATGCGTGCTTACCAGATCCCGTCCTAAACAGCTACTAATGAAAACAGAATAGGACTGAAGAGGTGATAGTATTTGAAAACAGGTCACCATGTAACAGCATTCAGAAAAGAAAATATTTCACTAACCCCTGATATGTAATGTGTAGCAATAGTGCCATCTTTTGGTAACCTGTGAGGGAGATGATGAATCAGACCTGTTTTTTTCCCTCATTTTAAACAAGATGACTTTACACAGACACAGTGAGCCCTACATCAGCGAACACTGGTCACATTTGAACACACATTTGAAATAAATGTCTTTGTTTTTGCAGCCATCAATATAACTCGTGCCAGATTCAGTGGAAGTGATGAGTTTGGTTACACCTCCTTTATGGCTTATTCCTCCATCCCGAGCATCAGTTTCTTCTACGAGTTCAAGTTGAAGTTCACACTCGCCAATAATTCATCTGCTGTGAAAGACAACCTGATGCTGTTTGCTGGGCATAAAGGACAAGGTGAGCTCCAATCTAGACACCCGCACGGCAAATTTAAAATAATTATCTTGTTGAAATGAAAAGAGGGAAACAACTTTGACATGTTTTTAGTTGTCAAACTTCATTAAGGATTATAAAAGACATGCCATTGCCGTTTTGAGAGGTTTCACCCGCTGTGTATGGTAATGTGCTATCTAATAGATTTCCACTTTCCTCTGAGATCCTCTAATCAAGAGGATTCCCTAAGGATTTTCTTTCTTGGCAGATTTTGAGACATTAATAATGAGTCTTCCTGCAGTCCAGCAATTAGTTTATTTTCAGCATAACTGTTATTGTTCTTGACTTTCAAAGGGAGCTTGTTGGAATTGCTCACATAAAATGAACATGTGAGCCAAGCATCTCAAAAGTATCTATGTTAATTGCATTAAACAGACTTTGAGTTGCAGGTGCAATGCGATGCTGTTAGCAACCATCACTTTAAACTAGGATCTTCCTATATGTGGGGTCAGATTTGGCAGCAGGTAACCGGCGTGTCATTGTCACCAGCATATTTCATCAAAAGAAGAAGAATGAAAAGAACACAAGATCTTGTGGATCTCCTGCCCTTGTTTTCTCTTGAGAGTACAATTCATCAAGGTGGAGGCAAAACAAAACAAGAGCTATGTGAATAATGAAACACTTGTCAGGAATGTGAACAGCATTGTTGGAAATGGTACAAATTCAAAGGCACAATATTAGAATAGATGAATTGTGAACAATTCACATGATAATTGCATTAATGAAGTGGCATCTTTTGATCAGCACCACCAAGGAATGAAGCAGTTAATTATACCATTGCTGTGATCAAGTTACATGAATTAAACAAGTAGAGATGCAAAATATGTTACGATACATAAAACACATTCTTTAAGAAAACAAATGCATCATTTATTCTAAATGTTTGTTAGAGATGTGGTGTTTATAAAGATCTTTTTTTGTTTGAGGATGAGTTTTTAAGGATATTCAGCAGGAAGATTTAGACAGTATTTGCAACATTTCAACTGTTTCACCATGTCTCTAGATGTTTAACAGATTATATATGTGTATATGCATATATATAACATAACCAATGCAAAATGTTTTTGTGTCTAAACCTAACCAAACATTATCCACAGTGGTTTAATATCAGAAAACTCTCAACTAATAAGCTGTTGAAATGTTAGAAATACTATGTGTAGGTGTACTATCCAAATAAAGTGCTACACAAACTGTTTGTGTTTTCCAGGCAACGATGGTGATGACTTCTTCGTTTTGGGATTGCGAAATGGCAGAGTTGTGCACAAATTCAACCTTGGATCAGGCATAGCAACCATAGTCAGTGATCGACTGAACCACCAGATCAATATTCACACTGTTACATTTGGAAGGTCCAAGAAAACAGGATGGCTGAAGGTGATTTGATAATTAGAAAAGTGTCCCGTTTGGAAAATAAGGTTACTTTATGTAACAGAATTGTTATGTTATTTTTTCTGATTATCTTTTTCTAGCCTTTTCTTGTAAAATACTGAATGATTTCAGGCTTCTAAAAATCATTCAAATGACACAATCTGAGAAGGAAAATTAACTCTTTATTTGAACTGCTGATATTGTATCAAAAGTGCATATAGAGACATATAAAGAGGCAGAATGAATAACAGACCAAAGTATACAAAGCAGGTTACTAGCATATATACAAAAGGGGTCACAAGCTAAAAAGGTTGGGGACTACGGTTCTAAATCAAAGATATCATCAAACCATTCAATTATTCCTCTTTCCACTCATTTATTTCTTATTTCTTTCTTTCATTTGTCACCTGACTTTATATGGTACACATTTTAAAAAATTGCACATGCCCACACAAACACTATATATTTATCCTCTGTTAATGCTGCAGGCTGGTAAATGGTGTTATAGTGAGGTGAAAGTTTTCTTGAAACATATCAGGTTTCTACATTATTTTGGTCCAGTGATCAGACAGAACAGGATGTTCGAATCGTCTAAGTATGGCTGAAAAATCTGCAGAAACAGTGAGATGCCATCGAGTCTGCAAGGGCCAAGATCCCTGGAGAATCAATGTCTTGAAGAATTTTATCTGTTCAGAGGCAAAAACACGGGGAATATAGTAGTGTAGCTACTGTGGCTAATAAGTGGACACTCTCTGAATAACTCAGTGATCAATCCGAGTTCGTACATTTTGTCAACTTTGTGCAGATTTTTAAATAAATTGTGCACACACACACACACACACACTCTATCTGGAGTATTGCCATTTTACTATGTCTTTCTCAGGTTGATGGACAACGTAACAGAACAGGATCATCTCCAGGACCCCTGTCGGGCCTCAATGTTTTCAACCAGCTCTTTGTGGGTGGATATAATGAGTACACCCCTGAACTACTGCCACTTGGCTCCAGGTTCCGTCATGGCTTTCAGGGTAAGACTGCTACAGCTTTATTACAACCAAACGCTGCTGTCTAGAGTGAGAGCACTGGGGCTTGGAGATTCTCCCAGGATCTCCATCTCTTTGTAAGCAGACGGGAAGGTGTGTAATGAAAAGGGAGTTCCAGGCTCAGATTGTGTATGAGGCCAGAACAGAGCTTTGAGGTTGATCGTGTCTGCACCCTTTAATCATTTCACACCCTGTACAGTTCTGCATTGTGTGCAAATCCATTCCACTGCTGATAAGTCACTTCAACAAGGGTGCCATACAAATAATCTTTGTCATTATCAACATCATTTATGCTTTCTCTCAGGTGACCCCATGTAAGAATGTATTCTGGAGAGCATTTATTCTGCCTGCTAATGTGCTGAGCTGTGGAGCCAAATTGCCATACCCGTAATGATGACAACAGCTATGAATATCATCATAACCATATTCAGCAGTCTCTGCACTACAGCAATGAAGCTTGTTATTATAAAATGTCATGGCAGATCCATTTGAGGTGAACAACAGCTTTTTATGTTTAAGGACTGGAGCAATTTTGTGCGTTTGCTTATTTATCATCATATAATTCACTTTTTGCTCACCAAATAAACCTTCGAAAATAAAATCAGTTATGCTAGAGCATCAGTTTGCCTGTATGAGACTGTCGCAGTCCCCTCTACTGGTAAGCACTACCTGAGCCACTATGGTGGAACCATAACCTTTTTGCTCGGGATGTAATGAGAACTCATGAGCGTCTAATCAGATCTGTGTGACCTTCCTCGAGCCCTAATCATGATGGCTGGCAGTGAACACACTGATAATGCACTTCACTCCCAGTTATCAACAGATCCACACTCCCCTGTAGAAAGGTGGCAGAGGAGGTAAAAAAATAAAAAATCAGTTACTCAATTTGAGCTGTTGATCAAATAACAAAAAACGGGGAAGTTTGTTTGTCTAACTTGTCTATTAAAAACTTATTTCATGCTGCTTTGATGCAGATATTTTTTTAATCAGACTTGCTAAGTGATCTTGAGGGTCATTTCCTTTAGAACCCCAGTCAGTTTTTGATTTTTAAAGATTGCCAAAGGAGCTTAGTTGAAAATATTATTGACAGTTTTGTAATAAAATGTTTTTTTTTACTGCACATTTAACTTTCAGCTTTTTCTCTGGCAGGTGTAATTGCTAGACTTGGCTCCCCAGCTTTTTTGGTTCTGTTACAAGAGGCAGTTTTTGCAGAAATACAAAAATAACCAGCTTTTCTAATCTTCCTTATGAATCTTCTTTTCGACCGTCTATGTTTGCAGCACCGCAACCATCACTTGAGTCTGCCAAGTAGACAGCATCATGCCATGAATATTCATGAATGAGCATGACATTTCCCCTGCATCCTGTTTATGCCAGTGACTAATGCAGCAGAGAGAAGGGAGTCTGCATGTGCAGATGACTGCGAGGCTTGTGCTCAGGCCTTATATTTATAGAAGGCCCTGTGCTCTGCAGGTACAGGCCAAAGCAAATATTGTCTTGATAAAATTGAATTATGAAAGCAAAAAGCAAATATGACGAGAGAGATGCATTATGACAGGAGGAAAAAACGTGGATTTACAAACTCCGACATCTTGGATGTACAGACCATCAAATTCAGTTCATATCTCAGAAAGACATGCAGATTTAAGTATGTATACAGTGGTGTCGCACAATAAAATAAACAACCATCAAAGAAATTCATTTCAAACACTGTACACATTTTGAAAGGTGTTTTTTCTTTTTTCATTGAGCTTGTTTGAGTGGGAAACACAAACTCAGATTAATCACATTTTAGTGTGCCCATCTTTGATCTTCATACAAGGAAAATAAAGAATGTAATCCCCTATCAGAGAAATAAAAGATATCGCTCTGACAACGGTGTGTTTGTTCTTTTCAAAGGGTGCATTTTTGATGTGCAATTTTGCACAAGAAGAGACAGAAAGTTCCAAGTGCTGGGACAGCCTGCGGGACATCCAGCCTTCGGGCGCAGCGTGGGTCAGTGTGGAGTCACCCCCTGTGTTCATGTTCACTGCAGAAATGGAGGAACATGTGTGGACTCTGGGTCATCTGTGTAGTAAGTGAAAATAATGACGACCGATAATGATTCCGTTCACGAATAACACGTGTAGGCTTAACAGTTGAGTTGCACCCAATGCACCCAACAGCTTTATGTTTAATGTATATTCCTATATATGTTGTCACTAGGCATCAGTAACCTATAGAGAATTAGGGAATCTGTTACACAGGAGTTATAAGTATAACGAAAAGAAATGGCCGTGTTTACAAGCTTTTCACAGTGTCTGACTGTGTCCGTCTGCAGTTGCCAGTGCCCATTAGGATGGAAGGGAGCACTCTGTTCTGAGACCGTGTCTGTGTGTGATGTCGAGCACAGTCCCCCTCCTCTGTGTGCCCACGGCTCCACCTGCATCCCTCTCCCGAATGGATATACCTGCCAGTGCCCCCTGGGGACCACAGGACTCTACTGCGAGAAAGGTTGCATTATTGAAGCCTAACTATATCATTATATATGTTTGTTTGTTTTTATTTAATAAGACAAGGCCTCGACTATTTAATTCAATAAATGTATAAATGCTCTATGGTTTTGCCTGTTCAGCTGTGACCATCAGTGATCCATTCTTCAGCGGTAACCAGTCTTCATGGATGTCATTCCCACCCATGAGTATTAGACATAGGACTGTTTTGCAGCTGCAGTTCCAGCCTTTATCACCTGATGGCATCCTTGTCTACACTGCACAACATCTCAGTGCCAGAGCTGGTGAGGACATTCAATTTCCTGTATAAGCCAGCTTTATTTTAATAAATGAATTACTATGTTGTGCATGTTGACATTAAAGAGCCAGGGCCAGTATTCTCTCTATACCCTGCCAACATGGTACACATTATACCTACCAATCAGTCTTTGTTTCGACAGTATTATGACAAAAATAATATATGACAGGAACTCATTTTTGGAGCACCTAATATAATTCTATACATTCATAGGAAAAATTCTACTGTAAGTATTTCAGGCTAAAAGGAATAAAAGGAAAATACATTTGGTGTAATTTTGCCACCAATACACAACATAATAAGTATTTTTAAGCTAAACAGACCTCATTGGCATACTTTATTAATGTCAGGCAATGTCAGTATTCTACTAAAAAGACCTCCCCAAAACAATTCAAACAATTTTCTTACTTGCATCTAGTTCAGGTATCCCCAGGCTGGACATTACAAGATGAAACTGGAGGGTCTCAGGGTGGTTCATAGGATAGGATATTGATCTGCTGCTCAAATTAAGATCTTTCCTCATGTAAAATAAAGAAAGTTGTCCTTCCTCAGACATCTAACAGTTAATCAAATGATACAATTTGGGTTTTATTCATAAACAACAGATACTGTACACAACACACATATCCACAAAACAAAACATGACTAACAGAAGACCAAACGAACACAGATTTAATCCATTACATATAATAAAATAAAACCATAAATAACGTCTAACAAAAAACAAACAAGGTGTCATGAAATTGAAGCATGACACAGGATAAAAACACTGCAAGTTAATATTACATATTTCCATAGTGGTACTGGCCACAAAAAACAGCAACCACTGCTGTGCCTCTGCTGCATTAGAAACATTAAGACAAAGTTGTGATATTCAGACTTAATTATTGCTGGCTCATTATGAAAATATTAAATCTTTTGTTTTTGTTTTATTGTCATCCTACAGGAGACTTCTTCTGCCTCTCCTTGACATCCGGGTTTGTCCGGCTGACATTTAACCTTGGGGATGGCACCCACATCCTACGGTCGGTTAAGCGAGTGGACACGCGAGGCAGGACCTGGCACACGGTGAAGGCTGGCCGATTTGGTCACCAAGGCTTCCTCAGTCTGGATGATGAGGAGGTTAGAGAGAATGGCACTGAAGGGATGACCACCCTCGATGTTACTACAGACATCTTTGTCGGGGGCGTGTCCACTCTGAGCTACGTGTCCACGGAGGCAACTGAAGGGGAGCCAATGGGCTTCACTGGTGGTTTGAGAGAACTTACAGTCAACGGTCAAGAGTTGGAGTTAACAGAGACTGGGGCAATAAGTGGAGCAAATGTTGGGGATTGGGATGGGACTGCCTGCGGGTACAAGGTGTGCCAAAACGGAGGCCGCTGCCTGGCAACAGGACGGGACTCATTCACATGTATATGTCAGCCGTCGTGGACTGGCTCTGTGTGTAACCAGTCTGTAAGCTGTGTAAACAACAGCTGCAAACATGGTTCCTTATGCGCTCCATCTAGTGTCACCTCATACCTCTGCATGTGCCCCTTAGGGTGGGGAGGGAAGTACTGCGACACAGAAATAGCCACAGACACTCTTAAGTTTGTGGGGAACTCGTATGTTAAATACCAGGACCCAAGATACAACACGAGAAATTTTAAGTACACACAGGTTTCTTTCAGCTTCCACACAAGCTCAAATGACAGTTTGATCATGTGGATGGGAAAGGCTGAACATGAAGATGACGACTACCTCACAGTAGGGATTGAGAGCGGCCACCTCAAGATTGCAGTCAATCTCGGGGAGAGACTTTCCCTCCCAATAACTTTCAGAAATCTCACACTCTGCTGCAACATATGGCATAATGTCTCCGTATCTTTAAACGGCACAGTTATTCAGGTGTTACTAAACAATAAGAGAATCCTCTTCGAAGACGTGGACCCATTTGAGCGTTACGTGGCCTTAAACTATGGCGGTCAGCTTTACTTTGGTGGATTTGAATTACACAGAAACGTATCAATAGTCACTTCTGGGTTGTTTTCAAAAGCCTTTGAGGGACATCTCAGAAATGTTTATTTGTTTAAAGATACCAAGCCACTGCTGCTTCTCAAAGACGGTGAGGGTTTTAATGTTTATGATGGGAATGAATAGTATTGAAACTCTGACTCATGAAAATTCCCCTTGTGATATCATCTTAAACTTACTATTACTTGTGCTTTATAACGCCCTACAACAAAGTAGTCCATGAGATTTGTGTGACACTTGGCAGTAGTTAGACAGTGTTTTTAGGGTTAGGGTGGCCAAAGGAAAGTTCACAATAAACCATATTTTACTACTTGTTTCTTCAACACTGTAGTAGCCTGATTTTCTTCTGACTTGTTTATAGATCATAATGGCTTTATCTCAGTTTTAAACCCTGAGAGTCCGTCACTATTTCAATATGAAAGGAAAAATTTAAAATCACGTCAACTGATGTAAACTCAACTCAATGTTTCTGATTCCTTGGCAGACACGTCTCTTTTTGTAAATGACTTCATAGCAATAGTACAATGTGAATCAGTATTCAGGTTTTACCTTTAATACATTTAGAAAGAAATATGAGAAGTTTGTTTTTATAATCAATAATAAAAAAAGGATTAGCTTTATTACGAACTGTACATAAACACACAGTGCAAAGGCACACCTAGTCTCTAACATATATTACAAGCCAAAATGTACATACTTTTTCAATAGAAAGTTCGTTTATAAAATATTTAAGCAATTTAAAAGAAATTAAGTTGGAAAAAAAGCAAAGCTGCTGTTTAGATTGCTGTCCTCAGTTAAATGTTTTCTGTTACATTCATGCCAACTTAAACTTTTCACCAAATGGTCCACACTTGTTTTGTGTGTTACCATGAGACTGAAAACATTTACCGAGCTTTAGTCAGTACAGCAGCTCCATATGAACAAGATATATACAATAAAAGGTTAAAAAGTTGAAAATCTTCCAATATTTAGTTCTTCTTGTGTGTGAAGAGAAAACATCTATAAAGATCTTCTCACTCTCACTGAAATGATATTTCATTTTGGCTGCACTGTCAATAACATCAAATGGAACTTCTATGAAGGAAATGGCAATATAAGCTTCAGACCGCTGTGTAAAACAAACAACTCCACTATCAGCCAATATAGCCAAAGTGGTTTGAACCAGCCAAGTGACCAACAAGCTAGCACCCCAAACACTCAATAGCAGGGCTTTAAAAAGAAAAGAAAAAAAACATAATTATGAGTAACTGTCTTTTGAACTTCTCCGTCCGTTCTCATAATCAGAGTCCCGTCTATGTCTGTGTCTGTCCTTATGGCGGCTGCTGTAGTCATCGCTGTGCTGCCTCTCTTTCCTCTTCTCACCATAGCGGTCGTCTGATTGTCCGTGGTGCCTGCTCCTCTCTCTGTACTTGTCATCTTGGCCGCGTTCGTGCTTTTTCTCACGGTCATGGTGTCTGCTTTTTTTCCCGTGATGCGAGTCCCTGTGGTGGCTGTGCCTCCCGTAGTGGTCTCTGTCCTCTGCACTTCGCTGCCTCTCCCACGGGTCGCTGTATCTCTCCTCCGAGCGCTTGTAGTCTTTGGCCAGGGATGGAGGCCGGCCAGGTGGTTCGGAGTAGCCCTCGGCTAACTGCGACGGAAGTCCGGGAAGAGCGTGCGAAGCGCTATCCTGAGCCCACGGTGTGCTGTGGTTCTGATCCTGGGTGGGTGGTGTGGAGAAGGTGTGAGCAGGAGGGCCGGTTGTGTAGTCGTAGCTGCCAGTTACCTGAGGCTGTTCCTGCTGCTGCTGTGACGGGATAGGTGTTGCACTGTTGTCTACTGGGAGAGCTGGTGCCATAACGGGGTCGGGTTGGAGCTCAGAGGCATCTGTGTAACATGCTGCTTCTGGTCCTTGTACTGTAGGAGGACATACCGTTTGAGCTACTGTAGCACTTGTCTGGGAAATGCCAGGATCTTCCTTTTCACTAGGGAATGATCGAATCTTTAAGTTTTCTTCCTCTGGTTTGTTCTTGGCCTGAGAAAGCTGTAAAAATCCTTGGTGAAATAGTGTAACTGGATCATTTCTAGTGCTGCTCAACACAGGAACAGGTTTAGGACTCAAAGGAGCTTGGTGGCTGGCTTTATCCTTTTGTAGCACCGTTTTGTCTTCATTCACACTGGAGTACGCTGAAGATTTTTTCAATATTCCACTTAAAGGAGGTTTTGAGCTATTTGTCTGAGCTGAAGCAGCCTGGGATTTTGACAGTGACAAAGAATTCCCTTCAGATGTTCCTTTTTCAGTTTCAGACAAAAGGCCAGCATCGCCTTTGTTTCCAGAGGCAGCGCTGCTAGTCTCAGTCCTACTTGGAGCTGTTGACAAGCTTGCCAGGAAGGCTTCAGTCGATACGTCTGGAGGCTTATCTTTTAGAGAGACTGATGCACCATGGGTCACCACTGCAGCATCTTTTCCTGATGAGTTGTTAGGAACAGATGTATCAGGCAGGCTGGATAGCTCCGGTTCAGCTTTAACAGGTTTAGCTTCCTTCTTCTTGATGACAAAGCGCTCTCGTGGTGCAGCAGCTGTTGGACTTTTTGAGTTTCCAGTTGACACCTCTGTTTTTGGAGCTGGTTGGGTCTTCTGTGTTTCATCTGCTGTTGTTGCAGGTTTACTTCCAACATCTGGCAGAGGTGGCAATTCCCCACCCCAACCTACTAACACACCAGGAAGAAAGCGCAGTGGTTTTTGGGGTTCCTGATTGTTGGTCTCCTCTGATGCAGATGGTTCTTCAAAAGCCTCTGTAATTGGCTCATCAGTATCTTCATTAGTGTTAAGTGGTTTGTCCTTCTCTTTATTATGTGCTGCAGTCAAGGAAGGGAGGAAAAATTTCTCATCCTCATCTGTTGCTCGGGTTTCTTTTGTGGAAATGGTAATGGGCTTGATTTCAGGAATAATCCTCGCAGTTTCATTCACGTCCACGGGAAGAAAATCCCTTTTCGGTCGCTGGCGAATTATGAGTCCGAGGAGAAGGTTGGCACGGTTGTTTTCTAAACCTGTCAAATTAAAAGATTAATTAGGTTTGAAAGAGCAGAAATGCGTGTGTAATTTACCGAGAGAAAACAATTATCCAAGAGAAAACTGGCTTACCTGGCCCGTCAAAGGGAACAAGCTGATGTGGAACTTTTTCAGTGGCACCCAAAGGAATGAGATACATGTCCTTCACTTGTTTCAGGTTATTGGACACCACCCCGAAACGCCTGCGACTGCTGAAGTAGGCATACAGAAGAGTATAGGAGATCTCATCCTCCTCCGTCTCAGGGGAGAATCGAATCAAGCACACCTCCTTAATTAAAGAAAAAAGCATGTGTCAGCAAAATCTACGGCGTACAAGATGTTTGACTCTTTGATGGAGCAGCTCTTTAATGCATCACGTGACATTACGAATCTAGATAATAATTGTCCGGACTCGAGCTGATCTTTATCACAACAAACATATGTAATTGTGGGTGATTGTATTTAATGGCTGTATAATCCCTTTAAGAAAAAAAAACTGCCCAAAAACTCACTTTTGTTCCAGTTGCCCGAATCTTCTCCAAGTAGTCCCACACTATCTGTGGACTTATCCTTCCGCCCACTTGAATGCTGTCTGGAAGGTCCTATTGAAAAAGAAAAAAAGATCAAACCTTACTTAACAGTACTTAGTGTCTTAAATACTTTGCATCAGCTATTCAAAGTCTAAATATGTTCAGTCGTTTCCACTTTACCTCCGTCAAGTTGTCCAAAATGCCTGAGACGGGGAAAGCTTTTATGGCGAACTTTGCCACAGCGTGCATATGAATGATTCCGCGCCACAGGGACTTCAGGTTGGAAAGGAAAGCCGCCTCTTCATCTCTTCCAGCTACATGATCCGACCTGAGAACAGTAATGAAGAAAGCTTGCAAAAAAAGAGCAGCACAGGCAGAAGAACCACACAGAGCGCCAGAAATAGCCGCTTACCGTCCTTCGTAGCCTGACTGAGCGCTTCTGAAGCTCTCCTCTAAAACGGTGAGGTGCAGGTCGTCGTCCATCGTAGGCGGTGTAGTGCTCTTCGTGTCTTCTGCTTTGGTGGACTGCCTCCTAACAACCGTGGTAGCAACTTTGACCACTTTGGTTGGTGCCTCCTCAACAGGGGGTGCCATACGACCTTATTGAAAGAAAAGTAACACAACAAGTTAGGAAGTGAGGCAAGTGACACATTATGTACAGGAAAATGTGGCAATAAAGGCAGAGCATAGTGACGAAGATGATTTTTTTTTGGTCTCGTGTCAGGGGTTACCTGTGCAGATTTTGCAGTGTAGGTCAAATAAGTGAGACTTGTGTTGGCTGGTAGTGTCTTTCTCCGTCTTTGTACTCTCTGCCTTTTTCTCAGGGGTTTTTGGAGGTTCTGCTGAGACTTCTGTCACTCTGGGAGGAGACTCAATCTGAAAAAAAAAAAAAAAAGACCCTCAAGCGGACAGTCTTCAGCTTGTTACATACACAGTAATGCAGACTGATATGTGGCGTGTCCCTTACCTCTGCAGGCTCAGTGGCTTTCACTGGTTCTTGGCTTTCAATTTCAATTTCACCTTTGTGTGTGATCTTAGTGATCGGCCGTCTCTCTGCCTCTCTTTGCTCTTTTTCAATCATCTCAATAGTCTGTGAAATGAGGAATGTATTACTTATTATACGGCTACTTAAAGTTAAACCATCCTTTAAAAAAAATATATATAAAAGAGGACAAACTCTTAGTATTGTGGTAATACTACTTGCTGAACATAACTTTCCTATCAGAATTATTGTTAGCTATTAGAGGAATTACTGTGAGCTATCAGGGTGAGTTTATGCGATAACATTTGTAAGAAACTACAGCACAGACTTAAGTATTACTTACATGTCGGTTCTCCCTTTGTCGCCAAGCAGCCAATTCTTTTGAGGCCAGTTCCTCAGGGCTCATTCGAATTAGGTTACCAGGAGAAATTTCCCCTTTGAGAACCCTCTTAAAGAGGACCTAAACAATACAATTAAAATAAAGCAAATGTAACTACATTTATATTAAAACTGAACTGCAACACCAAGAAACAGCATGCCCGATTTGAAATGGTACTTACATTATTTTTAGTATCTTTGAGATTAA